TCAGACTTGTCGTGTGTACTTGCTCAACTATTTACATGTTCTTACCTATGCAACTAATTGTATACACGAAACAAGGTCAATTGTACAGAGACATATGGTTGTCACAAGCAGATTTGTAATATACTTTCTCTGTAGTGATTAACAATTGTCCAGATCATGAGCTAAAAGTACCTAGTCCACTTGCCTTCATTCGGAGTATATTACTCTGACACGGCCCAGAACAGGACATACCCTGACCTCGGAAATTATCGCTCTCCAAATTTGCCGAAATTGTATTTAACCCGGATTTTAGCCCAATTACTCCGGCAAAATGAAATTGTGAATCAATCCGGCTAGTGTGCTGCCCTGGTTTCTGGCTGAACGCTCAGTGGCCTACTAAAACTAGGGGACATTTCTGCAACAAAGACAAGAAGTGGAACCACTCACTTCTTTATTTAGCCTTTAAGATCCTGTCCATGAGGAGAATGGAGAGACAATGCCGAAAGTACAGGGGAGAGAAGGATGATTGAGGAAGTGTCTGAGGAAGGAAAATGACAGATTAAAGCCATGTTAAAACACTCGTCCTCCACGTAAGAAACTATCGGACTGTGAAACCTGTCAGGTTCAAGAAAGTTAGATGACATACTATGCCTGTAGTGCTCAGTACTCTGGCTAGGTCAATGTCCCTCTCCGGATGAGTGGTCACGACTGCAGTGATTCACGGGCAGACGGACCATCCTTGGTACAAAGCCAGGATCTGTCATACCATGTATACGTCGTACCACTGACTGCGTATTGCACTTCATCTTAAAAAATCTTAAAATACGCACACACACGTGCACGTAAACACATGAGAGATGCGAGAAAGAGAGAGAGAGATAAAGAGAGTGAGTGGAGAGAGAGAGAGAGAGAGAGAGAAAGAGAGAGCACAATCTATGGATGCTGTACGTTATACATGATTATACTCGGATTCAGCAAAGCAAGGCTTGGCATGATGTGTTTTACTGGGGTCTGTGACAGGTCCGTGACAGGTCCGACGTTGTCTGTGGCCGTCACCTTCTGCCGGCGGATTCCTGCGGCGGCACGCCGGCAGACACCGCCCATCTGCGCCTTATGGGAAACAGGCTCAACGCTGAGGGGCATCTCGTGGACTTGGAACAAAATCATCTTTCGCATCATTTTCCAAATTTTTTCTAAAATTCAGCTACGCATTTTTAAAATCGGAGGGAGGACATATTGAAGAAATGTAGGGAGGGATTGGGAAACCGAGGAAGGCAGCAAGCATCTGACTTTCCTCATTGCTAAATGACTTCTCTGTTTTGTTCTGGCCATCCTGTCAACAAAACAGTGTATAGTGTGACGTAACAAGTTATCCAATCACGCTAACACATCACCTGCACGGCAGGTATATTGATGATACACAACTGTGAATAATGATCCAAGTGTGATCTGGGACAAGAGGAACTACTGTGCAGGTGACTGCACCTGGATCCCTTTCCCTGTTTCAGGTGTTTCCAGGTGGCTGTTACTTATCGAGAGATAAATGAGAAAACACCTCCAAAGCAGACAATACCTTTTCTATAGTGTCTAAACCACTGCCCTGCGTGCGTGGGAAACCATTAGTCCTGTATGGTACAAACTGACCCACCGGTCAGGTAGATGTGGATTCTTTACCACCGGGAGATGGCTTGATGGGTAGAGCATTCCAACTTCCTTTCCAGACAGAATATCAGTCCAATATGATGAAAACGAGAGTCAGGTTTAGGTTCATCTTTGATAAATCTTTATGCTATGTGTCTACAGTCTCATCCTCTTCTAGTGCCAGATGGATGCGCTCTCATTTTGCTTTTTTGCTAACAGTATTCCTGAGAATGAGGGACATGTGTGTGTAGACCTTGTGCTGTATTGTTGACATCTGCAGAGCCCCGTGTATGACGGATGGTCCTGTGGGCAGAGACCGGCGGTGTTCACCCGGCCGTGCTCCCGCAGGGGTCGTCAGGTGGCACCGGGACTGTCACCAGGTCAACACGATGCCGTAATTGGGCGTTATTCATCCGCACAGGATTCAAAAAAGATGGGAAGGGTTACGACCATGACCGTCCCGACCTGAGATTGTGCACGCCATGACAAATGTGGAGTGGATAATCGCTCAGTTCCGACATCGCACCCTCATATTGTCTCAAGAACAGTTGATCAATATTGGACATACGCTGTTGTTGAATAGAACTAACGGTATACGTAGATATAGGCCTCATTTTGTACGGTGCCAAAAGGTTTTACTTGCACTATTTGTCAATGATTATCATTTTAGATAAGTCTCCACATATTCTGCTTTTGGAAATGTACCCACGATTTACAGCATGGATATACCAGAGAACCTGTCTACAGACGACTGTGTATTCCGTTGGGCGTTCGCATTGACTGCGTACACGTCTTCGGTCACAGAAAATCACAGAAGGGGCCTTAAACAATGCTTAGAGTTAGATGCCCAAGTGTTCGGTGTAACAAGTCGATCGGTGTGATGTAGCCAGCTGCCGCCGCGCCGCGTGCCTGTGAAGCTGGTGTGCTACGCCGAAGGGTGGTTATACCGGCTATACAGATACAGACTACAGAATTGTCAAATGTCCAAGAAAGATAAATGACGTTTGGAGTTGAAATGACCGGACCAGAGACGGCCGTCGTCACTTCTCTGAGTCCAAGAATGGCCAACATTTCGTCAAGTCCAAACAATAGTTGGCTAATCCGTCCATCATATCCATAATTCATTTTTTCATGCCAAATGAAATACAGGCCAGTTGAGAAGTAACCCTGGATGTTGATTTAGTGTGGATGTTAAACTGTGATACAGGGGGCAACAACCAAGTTGTCTGGGATTATTCCAATCGACAATAGCATAACTCTTATTTGTTGCCATGGTAACAGTTGGGAGGGCAGGTCCCGATTTGGCGGGAAGCCATGTTGGACATGTAGTCTCTAGCATATTATTTCGGGGCTGACTACGGGGTAGAAACTGATTCATCTTTAACAATCCACAGCACTTTTTTTCGTGACAATAAAAAAAAAGATGACAATGCCTTTATGCACACATTCAAATCACAGTCATATTTGCCCTCCAGTAAACGGGTCCCCTGGAAAGTTCTCCCGGTGCCAAGTCGGAAAGAAGTTAGCGCTTATTGCCGAAGGCTGCCATTCATCACTGTCTACTGTCCTCATCCAATAGACGCGAAGACGAGTCTTCTATTCCCCATGTGATTGAAAAACTCTATAATTTCTGTGAGCGTACATGAGAAAGTCCAATGTACATGTCATTTGTGGGCGATGATCCAATTTCTCTGTGAACGGGCACGAGCTGTGGGGTCCGGCTGATCTAATAAGATCGCCGATAACGCGTGGTGGAGGCGGCGTCGTAATTACTGTAGCGACAAGCGCCCATCATCGGGCTGCTTTACACATCATCGGAAGGACCGGGGAGCACATTCCCTACTGAAAAATGTCGGGAAAACCTTCCACAAACCCATACAGTCGTGCTTCCTTCTGTTTGTGTGTACTTTCCTCTCTATATTTCACCGCATCAACTAACGTCACCCAAATGACTGTGGATACACGCGGTAGATTATCTTTGAACGATGACTTTATATAATAGTGTAACAAATATATTGATTAAATCTGTCATTTGTAAGTGGGTTTGTGGTTATGGGAGGGGGAGGGGGGTCAAGGATGTAGGAAATGCGCATCAAAACTACCGCAAAACTATCCGTGACGGGGCTTAAGGGCATCTCAATAAACCCAAACGTGGTAACTACTAACACCACCCCACCCCCCGCCAAGGAAAAGTTACGTATGCCAAGTGTGCGGAAAGGCTGTGTACTGATCACCTTGATAAAAAACTTCAAAAATCATGGAAACATACATTTTTACCAAAGGCCCTAAAGGTCAAATCTTCTCATTAATATAAAAAGGAGTGCTTAGAAGTGCTTAGAAAAATTTAAAACATTAAGTAGACAAGTCCTGTCTTTCCTTTACGTAAAACGTAGTTTGTGGGAGTGAGGATATACATTTCTTTGATATTGTATACGTAAGTGCAATTAGTGTATAACGTTTCATCAAAACAGGATGCATAGCTAGGTTACCTGTATTTGATGTTGGGACAGTGGAAGATGCCTTTAATGCATTTCGTACTTTGGGAATAATTTCCCTAAGTATGATAAATCAAGGCCACCCTTCCGGACAGCAAATCTAAAGCTTTCCTAAAAACGAATTTTTCATTTGAAGCCGCTAACCTAGATTTTACCTCCTCCATACACCACAGCCTACACATCACTTGCAAAATGAGAACGACATTGTCAATGAAAAATGGAACTTTTCACGTGATTATTTAGAACGCCATGCGTCTCGAATGTTTCAGGCTTCCTAAAGAGGAGAAGTTTACATTATCATCCCTTGCCTCGTTGTTTGTATTTTTCCTGTACACCGTGCGTGTACGTTCTGTACGAACGGTTGCATCTGACGCGTTGATTTAGATGACGTCGAAGATAGAGTGTGTGCGCGGTAATGTACTGACGACCCATTGTTTAAATTCCCCAAGACAGATTGCCCAGTCTGAGCCGAGCGGCGCCACGCGAATCTCCCCCAGAAAGACCTGATGAAATGAAAATGTCTCTGTTCCCATCGCCAAATTCGATAATCGCTCCGTAACTTGGTGGGAACTGCGCGCCGGTCCCGAGCGCGCCGGAAATGTGATTTGTTCCCTATGAGAACAAATGAGTCTCGCTAGCGGAGATGACATGGTCTAATGTCCGCCGTGAGCTCGGGAGATGGAGCACGGAGATACGTGCAGGCCGCAGCCGCAGAATTTCACAAAATTCCACTGTTTTGTGTGCTGCATGTACGAGGCTTGGTTTTGGCTGATGTTCACGAAAGATCTAGGAGAATGCCAACAGTCTAATAGAAATAAACCCTTTATGTAGCTTGGAACACCACCCAAAGGAATCTCCCTTAATGATTCCATAATTAAGGGGGTAATCATGAAGTAAACGAAGTTATGCGCCAACATCTCAAGAAAATTATGATATAAATTACAACCTATCCCCAGTCTAAGTGCATCCTGGGCGACCCAGCACACAAGATTGCGTAAACAGCGTTGTAATACTTAATATTTACTTCTTTTATTTCGTAAAATATACTTTTGGTTCACTGACAAAATGAAGACGACATAACATGACTCACCAATGCACTGTGAACCCCAATGAATACTTATAGTTGTCTACCCCCTTAATAAAAGAATGATATGCAGAAATTTGTATTGAATATTAGTGTGAGGCGATTGAAAAACACTGGGCCTCGCAGTGACAGGATGGAATCAACATGGTAGTTTATAGTAAATTATAAGTTTTAAATGTTTTTGACACATTCAAACTGCTCTGCTACATAGCTGTACAGTGTGAAACGCCTGATGCGTCTAACCTGAAACAAGAGGACGCTTCCTCTGAGCGCTACGTGTTGTAGTAGGTCAACAAAAAGTTCCTCCGTAACTTTTACTATAGTTGGTCGTCGTGTTGTTTCGTGACTTTCACTCACTGGTCAAGCATTTGTTCCCGTGAATCTAATGAAAATTGATTGTGGCAGTAAAATCCACTGAAAATTGCAGTAGAAGTTTGAAAAACTGCGAATAGTTTTGCACTTTTGGGCTTTTAAAAATATTTTTTGCTGAATGCCATGCAGGAGCAGGTAGTGTCGATGTCCACACGGAGAATTGTGACTTGTACAGATCGATAGGGACAGTGACGAATACGCCACGGTGATGATATATGGGCGCACCCCTGCATTAGCGCCAAACCTGCACCATCCGTTTTCCCGTCAAACCGACCTGCGGGGCCTACGGAGCGTCTTTACCCAGCTTAGGGGGAAAGCGACGTACGGCGAGAGGAAATTGAGAACGCAGATTTGTCAGGCATCGACCGGCCCTTCGCCACTTCAGTCCCGCGATCGGCGCGATGAGTTGGAGCAATTTCCCGCCAGATGGGCCGTCGTCAACAACCCGGCGTCGTCTGTCAGCAGTGTCACGTCATGTGCGCCGCGGGTATCGACCCGACCGGCTGCCGGCCGCTCTCACCCACGGAAACGGCGTTTTTTTTACCGCTAGCCATCCGTTTTTGTACCCGAAAAAACGGGGTTGCAAGTCCAATGATCCCGTTACAAAACTGATGACACTCATGCGACATGGCAAGCTAGCGTTCAGCAATCCCACCTGAGTTACGCAAACTATTGCACTGTGGATATCCGGAACTTATGGCCTTGGCTCCTTACATTGTATCGATAAGGAGGTCCATTTTTTAACCTCCATGGTACAGACAAGTTCATTCACATTTTCAACCATATCGTTTTGTCTATCAGAGGTAGTCAGATCCAGTCAAAGATTTTGATTGAGTGTTTTCCTTTTAGGTTCATAATCCACTTCATGTGGAACTCCCAGTACCCTGGCATTCTCCGACCTGCACCTTTAGTATACCACTGCCCTGCATCTCCTGTAACATCAGAAACTCCTCCGTGAAGTTGTGGTAGGGGTGAAACTGCGTTAACAGGTGGTACTCTAGCGTTTTGTTCTGGAACTGCAGGTCCCCGATCACGGCCCGGTCGTAGTAGTGGTACGACAGCGCCCTCTGGCGGTAGAAAGGGTAGGGCCAAAACCCGTACAGGGTCACCTGGTCGCACAGGGACACTGCGATGGTCGCCAGAGCAAGACCTGAAGAAAGAAATAAAGTATTTGTATATATCTTTCTTTCATGCACTTAATGCATTTCCCAGTTATATGTTTAAACTTCTTGATCATGGCACTGTATTTTGTTAATTTCACCGAATTGGACCCACCTCCAACAAAAAAAGAAGAAATCCTTACGCTTAAGGATTGTTGTCCCCTTACCTGTACTCGCCCTTGGTGCCTTCATGCCATGCTCTTTCCAGAACGCAGTAAGGTTCTTCAGGAATTTTGGATGGGAGAACAGGACATAGTTCTGCGACATTTTGGCTGCATCATGTGCCCGTAAGGTCACCTAAAATGGCACAAAATAAATAACGATAGATAATGAATATCAATGAGTATTCTTTTTTGCAAGCTCACGTCCGAAGGGTAATTAATTACATGTACAGAGTAAAATGAAGCAATATACTAGTATTACCATTTCTCTTTTACCTCCATGGTATTACATACAACTACTGATAGACTAACTTGAAGACGGTGAACACCCCCCCCCTCACATAAAGGCACCACAAATTTCTACTCGCCCCTCACACCACAGACGACAAGGACTCACATCTGAATATCTCTTCAAATGGAAAGGATGTGTCCAAACCAGCGCCCGGGCGTACCGCTTGAGATCTTCGGCCAGGTGCTTCTTATGTGAGGTCTTCTTCAGGTTGTTATAGCTGGGAATGTAAGAATTTAAAATTAACAACCATTTTACACACACATGTACAAACAGGCACACACACACGCGCACGCACACACACACACGCGCGCACGCACGCACACATTAAATTAAAAGATGAGATATAATGCACTAAACATGTATACTCACAATTTGGCAAATATAGAAGGGTTGGCAGTGAGAAAATGTGTTCTCATCCCTACGTCATCTTCAAACGGACCACCGATTGGTGGAAAGTTACTCCTGGAATAAAGAATTAAACAGGGATTGTGTTCTTTATGTACCTCTTGGAAAATACACGAGATCATTGGGTAACATATTCGCATTTAAAGCGTTGCAATTGTCATGGAAACTGCAAGAAAAAACTGAAAACAACTTGGCAGCTCTGACTTACCTGAAAACAAAACTGGACGAGTCGATTTCTTTCCCACAGGAGGAATTTTTTAGTATGCCGGCGTTCCCGACAACACTACACGCCCTGAAGGACACGTTGGCTTTCACTGGAGATTCCTAGTGCAAAAAATCCCATCAGTTCATTTCTCTGCCTATCATGTTGACTTTTAAGAGATGTTTCATAAAAATTCCTATAAACATGTACTATACATGTTACGATGTTCAAACGTAAGTCGGCTTTCTTTTTTCAATTCATCTTAAGTTCTAATTGTCCTTGTTTTATTGAATGAAAGAAGATCTTTATAGTACATTTTTGCTCCACTGGGCCAAGCACAGGTCACATGTTAACAGTCTTATACAATGTAAGATGTATATACAAATGTCTAGTATACACAAGGGCTTTTGACTCCCTCTCGCTTCTCTGTAATTGTATAATGCAGGTGGCTGTATGATTAGTTATTGAGCTACCGTACCCGTGGCAGTCTATTGTAGAAGTTCCTGTCTGTGATCCGGACATAGCCTGGGTCCAGGACCCACTCATCCGTCTCCAGACATTTAAACTTCTCCCCCAGCTTCGTGTTGTTTTTGGTGACGAACAGATATTCTCGCAGCTTCGTTCTCTTCTCAACCGCCGCTCTGCAAAATGAGACGGCGTAGTCGTTAGTAAATGTAGTAGTTAGTTGAATTCAAACTATCCCATATAGCATATTGATATCTATGAGGAAAAGAGATTTGTGTTCTAATCTGGTTGTATCTATTTATTGGTGGTACCAAAAAATGAAAGGACTCCTCACGTAGCTTGTTTTTTGTTCTACTGTATTTCATACACTTACCAAATGATGACTAAAATGTGCTACGAAATGGCAGTAAATGTCAATATCAGACAGATTTCCTCATCCAGAATATTTTTGTTCTAATCTGCCGCCCTGAAATTGCATTCGATGCATTTGGCAAGTTCAAAACATATAAACTCACATTAGCTAGATTTTGAAATGATAGCATGTGAAAATGTTAATCTTACCTGAACTTCTTGAGTGCCGACAAGTTGAATCCAGGAAACGGCGTGCCGTGAAACTCATCATCGCTAACCTGAACTCTGTGGTCAGTTGCCGCCGGTTGTGTTGCATGTTGCACCAAGGACGTTCTTGGTTGCATGAGGTTTCGCAGTTTTGGTCTGTTCTTACATTGTCGGGTACATTTTCTACTCGCCACATTCCTGGGGCAAGATGAAAATAGTCATTTATTTCGTTATTATTTAGATAAATGGAGATGGATTGTCGACCTAACCACGGAATAATTTATCAACATCAAACAGTTACATATTTAATTTGATTTGATTTGATTTGATTTCTTGAAATTGCAACAGTGCAATACACGCGGAACAGAGGCAGCTGTTGCTGGTGTTGTGTCCCGCACATAGAAACAAATACTGGACAGACAATACTCATTAAGTCATTTTCACTTGAGTCTAGTGGGGAAAGTCGTGTAAAGTGCCTTTTCCAAGGGCACAAGATCGGTGGCATGTCAGGACTCGAACCCGAGACCTCTTGATTCCGAGTCGCGCTCGCTGCCGTTGCGCCACACGACCCCACATACAGTTACATATTGTATGGAGCAAATACAATAGACATTGAAAAAAATACTGAGAAGTTTGGCAAGAGTTTCGCAATGTCAAACAATAATGTATAAAGCGTGCTAATGGTATACACCAACCTGTGTATGAACAGCAGCAAAACGCTGTGACTGCACACGAGGACAACAAAGAGTGTAAAACATCTGAAGGACGGTATCTTCATTATAATGGATCATCCACTTTTAGGGTGGATGCTCACGTCGAGACGGCAATCACTCGTAAGGAGATCCTTAAAACAAAGACACAGTAAGAGCCAAATTCACACAATATATGTATGTCTTCTTGGGAATTGTCAGTGTACTATATTAGTGAATGAATGAATGACGACCTTTATTGCACATTTTTGCCACACTGGGCTATGTACAGGTCACAACCAAACATGATGAACAGATACAGTGAACTGATACAAAATGAAACGAACTATCGTTACAATATTCAACTTCTCCCCGCTTTTCAGTTATTGTAGAAATAAAAGAACATCAAAGAACTTTCATGCTAACATCAATGTGTTTGCAAAAGTTACAAAGAATTACAATAAAATTGCATGGCCAAATATTTATCGTCCATACTGTCACATGAAGATCTGCGTGTATCACATTTTACATGTCCACTGAATCGTTACATCTTAGAAAATCTCACCCACCCTCCCCTCCCAACCACGTAGAGTCCTTTCAAGCGGCAACATTGAAGGTTGGAGCGTGGCTTATGTTACGTATAGTATACGCTTTTAGAATTTGTTCAGTTGTAAGAAAATGCGAATAAAAGAATGTGTGCCTACCTTGCTCGCTCATACTTTAGCCGTGACGCCGCTTACACACGTTGAGCAGAAGATCGTTTAGTCCAACAGAACGCGAAGGGGGGTTTGCAGATTCGTGTGGAATCTGTCCCTATAAGCCGGTCAACACGTCACAGCTCGCGAGACAAATACCTGGTAAAACCGGTTCATAATCGGTAACGAGCCGACCTTTGACATCAAGCAAACAGCTTAAATCGAGTAGCTTTAATTAAGCATCAAGGTTTTCTCCTCGTGAGGCCAGTTCGATAGGTGGAGAAAAAGTTGACAGACCGCGAACACCATGTCTCTTGCGTAAGGAATCATTAATTGCCCTTTTTGTCCTGTCGACTCCTGGAACAACCATCAACACAAACAAAACAACAATAGTCCCATAATACCCATTGCTGCTATAGGAAATTACGTTTTCTTTTATATTTTGCCCTAAAAAATTCACATAAATGCCACGTTTATACAACTGGTAGTGTGTAAAAGGCGTTACTGGCTTTTGACAAATTATAAGATAAGCGAGAGCAATATTCACGCAATGCATAGGGCCAGTGCTTACAGAAAATTCTGTAGCAGTCACTGACCTCTTTAGACAACTAGTAACTTGTCACACCTGTTTAGGAAATGAGGCGTAACTTCCGTCAGAATTGTCCCTGTTCCATTTCCAAATCCGGTTTTCCTAGCCCTGTACCCGGCTGACATGTCAGCGTCGTCCCCGCCCTGTGCCTGTTGCCTTCTGTACTATCCGTGAAAGCTCAAACAACTGTTGCGAATGAGAGCTATCTGTAGGTGACAAAAGAGATTGTACGCAAGTGTAAGCTGTACTAGGGGGTCCTGCCGTACGTGAGATAAGAAGAACCATGTGGAATAAAACTACACTGATGAGTTACACCCTAGCAGCCCTGGTCGGCACCATGTAAGTAACGTCTAATAGAGGAAACGTTGTAAGATATGTATATATATATTATATATATGAATGAAGTCATGTGCATAGCTGGTAGAATTTGATGTCTTTTGGGATCTCTGACCTTATATCAGTTTACTCTGCAGTCATCAAAATGAAGATGGCACCGAACGGCATTTCTTTCGTGTTTGTTATATGCTTAGAATTTGTCATTAATATACGTATATTTGTTTAAAAATCCATTTTCTGAACCCTGTGCACAGAGACAACAACATTTAATCCAGATATAGATGGGCTTCGGTCTTTAGTTATTTAGTAGATATACTTAGTACTGACTAAAGACGCGCAGCGCACACTACCCATACAACAACACGACCTAGATTTGACATGTTTTTGTGTTCCGAAAACATTGAGAGTTTTTTAGTGGAAATGTACACATCAAAGGCATTCATTTAGCACTACTTAACCATTCCAACCGACCAAAAGGTCAAAACCTACACAGCGGAAGATGTATCCCAGTGATCATGGTGCATATTTGTTTTCCAGTCTGTCCCTAGTTGCAATTAACAGAGAACTCCAACAGAACCAGTGTATCAGACAGTGCAGACACACTTCGTGAGTACACATACCGTTCAGTTATACTAAATGTGATAGCACATTCATAGGCTATTCACAGATAATATGAATGTTAGTCACTGTCAATTTCATCATGTAATTGTGAACAAAAGTCTAGAAGTAGCCAAGGTCTTCACATGCTGCGTTTTACGGCTTATTCTATATCTTTGACATGTTGTTGTTGTTGTTGTTTTAGTCATCCTCATCAGAGGTGAAGCATGCATATGAAAACATGCTTTTTCTAGTAGCTATGCTTGTGCGATGTGGCTTCGCTACGCATATAGGGGGTGGTGATGTTAATCACCATGTGGCTAATAGTACGATACAGGGGTTCGCCAGGCCTCCATCCCGGTGATTTGAAGTGAATCACCATCTTCCACGCGGTAGGTTTTGGACCATCGCACACCGGGGCATGCCCCTACTCTTTTTCGAGAAGTGTGGTGGTTCTTTAACGTGTGAGAGCACGGTGAGGTGCGGCTCTCCCCAGTCATGGGACCCCCATTTACTAGTAACTTTGACATACCACTCTAAAATAACAGTATGAAATTTTCTGCGCAGACAACCCAGAGATGACATCCCTGAAGACTACATAGGCGCACGGTGGGAGGAGTCAGATGACCATGACGTTAAAATGGAGGAGTACATTCCCGTGGTCAAACCTTTCACGGGATTCCATAAAGCCGAGGCTGACAATTTCAGGTAAAACAGGGCCTGAAGTATGAGGAATATGCATGCCTAAAGCAGTGGACATCTCTCCACTAAAGGATACAATGTATAAGGCTGTCTATAATGTATGATGATACTTTTACCATAGCGCTCTATGGTTCTTCTATGATGAGATGATGATGTTTTTCATTCCAACACGTAATGACTAGACGTGGTGACGGCACACTCAAGTTTTTTCAACTCATTTTTATGCTGCCGCCGACACAGAGGGCAATACAATACTAATTTTCATCATAGTCAAGTGAGAAAGTCGTGTTAAGTGCATTTATAACTGCACAAGATAGGTGGCATCGCAGGGTTCGAACCCGGGACCTCTTGGTTCGTTCTGATGCAAACTGCCGCTACGCCACACGACCCCATAATGATGGTGTTTAGTAACAGAACAAGCCAGAGAATGATTCACATGCTCTGGCGCACAAAATCAGTGTTTCCGTGTTTAAGTCCTTCAAAGGTTCCTTTGCCGTTAACTAGTAAATGACTACAATTCCACAGAGCCAGTCTGATTGAGGAGACGCGCAGTTTGGACGACATGTTCGTCACACAACAGAACATCAAGCGGGGCCAGGCCGTCCACTTCGCCGAGACCATGATGTGGTCTCTGCAGACGGAAACAGTAGACATCCCCGACTTCGTCCATAGCATGCTTCCCAGGGTAGGCGTCATGCCTCAACATAATTTCATTGATTTGATTATATGGATGACATCCTCTGGGAACCCCAAAACTCATGCGAGCGTACGAATAAAAAAGTTTGGCAAATAAAAGTTGCCTTCATTATGAAATCTACGCGGTCATGAAGGTTGAACAAATGAAGAAACACATAGAGTAAATACACGATAAAACTGTTTAAGTGGTAGATACTGATAACATAAAGAGCAGTTTGGTCAGGGCACAGCAGAAATTGAAATCAATGGGAGGGGTTACTCACTGATCATCTCATGATATCATGCTGTGGTCTATAGCTTCAATGTTTCTGACTGAATCCGTAGGTATGATGACTTGGTTCCATGTATCCACAGGAAACCGGCCTGAAACCAGCACAGTTCAGGACCTGCAGCGTGGTGGGAAACGGCGGCATTCTGACTGACAGCAGATGTGGACGGCAGATAGACTCTTCGGACTTCATAACCAGGTAATTATATATAAGGGAATACAAGCGATTGAAAGACGTCACGGCTAGAGAGTGGTAGGCAAAAAGCAGGTGACGGTTGGCTACTATCGGTACCTACCGATAATTTGCATATCACTTCAAATAATTTGCATGTATACGATCGCTCGTATATGACAGGAATCATGGGTAAATCTTTTTGTACAAACTTCATCTCCAGGAAGAGTTTTTTTAAAAGGTCCTTTTCCCGCAAAGTTGGTGTTCAACAGAACAATTGACGTTAGCGTGACCTTTGACTTCTCTGTCAGGAGCAACTTTTCTCCAGTTGGGGGACAGTTCGCAGGGGATGTCGGGAGCAAGACTGACTTCATCACTGTCAACCCATCAGTTTTCGCCTTGTAAGTCTAGTTACTGTGTACCTCCAGGAATTTTATCTATCTTTATTTGCATTGTTATGTGAATAATAAATTTGAAAGTGTCTGCAACTATTTATCCTAACTTAAACTTCATGTATAAACTATAGGTAATAGTACTTCTAGGGCGTGTTATGGGCGGTGAAATTCTGTTTAAGTTAGGATAATTAGTTGTAGACACTTCCAATGTACGACTTTGTTAAAATACAACTTGAATGGTCATGCATTATATTGTTTGACTTATATCCAAATGGGATAATAATTTGTTTTCTTCCCTTTTCAGCTACAACAACTTGATCAAAGAAGAAGACCAGGGCAAGTTTTTAGACGACCTGGCGAAGTATGGCAAACCTCTCATGTACACACACCCATTCCGGCTTCGCAACCAGGCAATGGTTAGTTTCAGTCTTTATGCAAGGGAATTTTAGATGGACAGCAAGATATATGTTATCACTTTACTGCTCAGATAGCAGTATTGCATTGTACTAGTAGTATGTCATTCGTAATGTAAAGCCTTAGGTGTGAGCACTTGCCCATTATGATTTTTCAATTTTCGTACTATTTACACATTGACGAGTGTTCAGTTCTTCTGCTGCTACGTATCATTTTCCTCATGACTCTCTTGCTAGTTCAGTTGCTTGCTAGTGCCACCCAAGCAAACAATATTGGGGAAGCGAAAAGTAATATGGGTAAGGATCTCTGACAGAGGTACTAGTATAAAGGAAAATACGATATCTTGTTCCATTTTGTCCGCCAATTTGTCGTTCTTCAGGTTTGTCTGCAGGCCATCTCTGCCATGAAGAAAGCAGGCCGCATGGACCAGGTCCGGGCGTCCCATCCAGACTTCCTGAGGTCTGTGGAGACCTTCTGGAAGGGGCGTGGCCTAAAGGCGCTCAGATCCACCACAGGTTAGTCTCAATTCATCTTCAACGACATCAACCTTTCTTCCGAAAATAGTTCCGTCAGGTTGTTAAAGCATGGGATATAGGGATTTTCTTGTACACAACCAGTACTGTCTCTTATTTTGCTTACGTTTCGGTATCAAACACCTTCCTCAGACCTGATGACTGGAGTTCTGCTTCTCGCCGCTATATGTAGCCGATGTAGGTGGCGCTTTTGCGGCGACAACACAATCCCAAACGTGGCTGAGTTTGTACCCAGCCCCCCCCCCCCTTAGTATCCCCTCCCCCTCGTCCCGGTTCGTCACTGGGGTCGACTCAGCCGCGTTTGGGACTGTGTTCTCGCCGCAAAAGCTTTTTCTACATCGGCTACACGGACAGCAACTTGGACGTGCAAGCCTCGATTCTTAGATGGACATCAGCAATAAACTGTTTTGAATGTTCACTCCTGTTGTATTCTCTGTTCAGGTCTGCTCTTGTTGTCAGTTTCCCTGTCCCTGTGTGAGCAGGTCACACTGTACGGCTTCTGGCCCTTCAACTCCTACAACGACCAGCCGGTCAACTACCACTACTTCGACCGACCGATAATTGGAACGTGGGAATTCAAAGACAAGTGGCTGGAACGAGAGCTGGTTCAGCATGGACCTCTTCATAACTTTACGGAGGAGTTTTTATTCCTGAACCGTCTTCACGACAGGGGAGTGATAAACCTGCACGTGGGGCCCTGTAGTTAGTCCTTGGGTCATGAATATAAGTGTACAATGTGCGATACAGTAGTTTTAGTAGTATAAACATATGTATAACTTGTACTTCAAAGTATTAATCGTGACTTGATCACAGGTCATCTATGTACGTGATTGCAGCGCTAAGCCATTGACTAAAGCATATAACTGTTATATATATTGCAATAGTAGCTGGTTGAATATAATCTTTAATTATACATGTACAGCATAGTTTGGTCAAGAAGGAAATATGCTACAACCATGCGTACCACTCTCGTTTCTTAAGAATCCTCTTGCTGCATAGTTGAAACTTTTCCATGGAGTCCTCATAACTGAGCCCCTCTATCACCACCCTGGCCACATAGTCCCCCAGTCCGCCGCCCTGGCCTAGCATCGTGATGCGGTCTTTCTTACCAACTTTGGCAATGACGCGAACTCCTTGTTCACGCGAGATTTCGTCTACCTGGTCGAAGTCTATGTAATCTTTGGCAGGTCCGGAGGAAAAGGGAACGATGTATCCGATAAACACCGGGCGTTCGCTCACCTGTAGAGGAACCACGTCCTCTCCCGACACAAGCTGGAGTTGCAGCCTAAAAGGATCACCCTGGCTCAAGCACGCGTGTAGGTGACTCAACCCCAAACGTCCCACGTTCACCTCTATCAGGGAAACTTCGCCAGAAGACTTCACGAAAAACTCGCCGTGTAACACTTGGTTGTCAAAACCCGAAGCCACCATTCTTTCCACAACTTCTACAAAGGCTTTTACGAATGTCATCCTTCACCTGAGTGGTGGCCCTACAGGGATGGTAATGCCCAACAGCATTGTCCCACCTGGAGGGCCAATATACTGACTCGGTAGTGAGAAGGTGCTCCACTTTCCCATCGTGGACGTAGCCGTCCACCGTGACCTTCGTCTTAACATTGACGTACTTTTCAAGGACAATGACTTGACGTAAGGCCAGTGGGTACTTCCTCGTATCAAGGTAACGCGCGAGGAAGTTACGTAACTTGTGGATGTTTGGATTATATGGGTTGAACTTTGTCTCTGTAAGGATCGCCTTCATTCTCAAAACTGCGGGTAGGAGGTCTGCTTTCTTGCTGATCTTACAGACGGCTTCTGAACCGGTGCCAAGGCCGGGTTTTAGAAAAGCCGGTAGTCCCACCCTCTCCAGAGCAAGGTAGGCGTCTGCTTCTAACGTCGGCGAGTCAAGGTCTAGAGCCTCGCAAGGAATCGGGTTGGGATCAAGAATAGTCCGGCTGTAGAACTTGTGGATTGCCAAGAAGCAGGACTCCGCCGTGGGGCCTGGGATGTGAGGGAACTCTTCAGACAGCGCGGCGTGAACCAGAGTCTCCAGATCCAGCCGGCTGACCATCCCGGTCACCTGTTCCCGCCTCACGATGTCCTTCAGCATGTCTGTGTACTCCAACAGGTCGGGAAACTTGTCTGTGTTCACGTCATGCAGAATGGGAACCCAGAGGAACTCATGGTCTCCGTATTTCACACTCATGTCACGTCTTACCGTATCCGGAAACGGTAAAACCGAAATCATCAGTGTCTTCTTAAGTCTGGACATCTTTTTCTGAGACCGGAACTGAAAATGCAACATCAATTACTCATTGATATGTGTATAGCATATCAATGAGTAATCAGAGTTACGAGTAGTGTTAGTATTCTATAAAGCCGTCTGATTTATGACTACTAGGCGAACGGAGAAACGGTTCTTGGAACACGCATGGGAACCATGTTTGCTTGTTTGTTTGTTTGTTTATTTTAAGTTGGAATTGACACTAGTAAAATATCATGTACTTACTAGTTTGTAAACCTTACGTTCCGTTGACCTAATATAAAATCATACACCACCAGATACCACAGTCATGCATGCCTGCATCTAAAAAGACACCCACCCACAGACACACACACGCCACGGCTATTACACGGTCAAATAAGAACGTGATGTGCATCACTGACTGCAATTACCATTACAGCATGCACATGAGCAAATAATACTCACCTGCCGAGGAGTAACACTTGGTTCTGTGGTAGTAAACTAGACAGGAAATGTTCTCCCACTGGACAAGCTTTATATACAGCTGAGTCAAGTTCGGAAGCCAGGGGTCAAAATATTGCCAGACCGTCCCATTCCGTTGGAGGGGGTTAGCCTCCACCAGGCTTGGGGAGGCGGCTAGAAATCGGCCAAATATAGAGATAAGCATGCCAAGGGAGTTTGTCCGTTGAGAGAACAGTTCGCCGCACTCTATGCATGCTTATCTCTTCGTATATCTCTCTATTTGGCTGATTTCTACTCTTTCCAGTCGCCTCCCCAAGCCTTGTAGAGGCGAGGAGGGGGTAACATACGAACGAAGGACACTGGTCTTGTCTTAGAATCTATCGTTTAGTTTATCTAAGTTAGGATCTATCTAAGTTTAGCGAGTTTCTTATATGCGGGAGGAAAACTTAATGACAAGGACTAACTTGTGCTAGGGGAGTTCTAAACTTAATTCGCCGTGTTGCTATTTTTCAATACTGAATGCCATTCAATCATGTTCTTTTGAAATAAACATGCTCAAACCAAATCGTTTTGGCATTATTCTCTTGAACCAACGGACATATACGTAACGTTAACTTTCATTCGAAAGGATACTAGTAATAAATAAAAAGACAACAACGCAAAAAAATTGAAAAACAAACTTTTATTCGACAAGTGTCGCCACCTTAAAACTTGGATAAATATAGAAAATGTCGCTGTACAGTTTCTATCTTATTTTCAGTAGAGGCACTAGAGGCACATATTTACAAAAGGATTGTCTACTATACATAACGAACAGTAGCAGCAACTTTGTGTGCGTTTCATATGAACTCATAGACCATTATACTTATGGTTGACTTGTACTGTAAAAATAACTGGAAAATCAAAAGTGCAAAGGTAAACAAACAATGTGCAAAGTGTAAACGAAGAGGCGAAAAATATATATACTACATCGGGAATCCGTAACGATGACATGACAATCATTTGGGCAAATACAAGTTCCTTAAAGAAACATATGCATTGGAGAGTCTCTTTACAGGTTTTCAGTGAAACTGCAACTTGTGTAACTCTTTCGATACAATTACAACAGAACGTTTGCATATTACAATGTAAGGACACTTAAAATCAGTATCTGAAGTTCGGGGGTGGGGGAGGCGGCGGCGGGAAGTACGAGGGGTAGTTCGGTCTCAGGTTGGAGAAGGGGATGGGCTGGTTGTAACACATCAAGTCCAGAACACTCTTGTTGGGCGGAACCACGGACAAGAGTTTGTCGTAGTTGAACATCTGCTGGCCGGTCGGACGGTAGAACGGCTCGGGGTCCACCACGTCGTACCTCGGCAAGGGCGGGTTAGCGGGGTACGCCTGGTGGGGCAGTCTCTGGTAGTCCCGACTAGCCGGCGACGGTCTGTCCTCGGACCCGCTAAGTGTTCTGTTCGGGGAGGGGTATCTGTCCTGCGGGAAGGGACTGGCACTCCGCACGGGGGTGGCGCCGGAGAATCTGTTCTCGGGGAAGATGTTGGCGTTGGGAGCGGGGATTCTGTCGTTACTGGCGGGCAGGAGACTGTGGAAGTTCGGGTAGGCCCTGGCGCCGGTAGCCAGGAAGTCTCTGTCGCCGTACCTTCTGGAGGGAAAGGCAGGCGCGTTGGGCTGGTGACACTCGTACTCACTGGAGGACAGCGAGCTCGAACTGGAGCTTGTAGCGGTGTTGTACGGCGGGAAGAAACAGGGAGACCGCCTGTACTGTGAGAACGGTACGACCGGGTGCCGCGGGGGACAGGTACTGGAGGATAGCCTCTCGGCGGCGGTCTGCGTCGGTACGGTCCCCGACGGCGTCGAAGTCCTGATCGCCGTTCCCACGAAATCGTCCACATCCAAGTCGGAATCAGAATCTGACGAGTCGTCGTCACCTCCACATTGCACCGCAGTGTCCTGGAATTTCTTCGGCGAGATTCTCGGCCTCGCCCCTCCGCTCGTGGCAGTCTCGCTCGGTCCCGCCGCGTGTAGGATAGAGTCTATGGCGAAGGGACTTTGCAGGGAGGACACCTCGGACGCGGGGCTCTCACTGCCCGCGAGGTTTCCAGAGTCTTCCGAACTAGTCGTGCACACAGACCCGGGAGTCTCGTAGTCGGCCTCGCCATCTCGCTCGCTGGAACTGTCCTGTTTCTTCAGGGCGTCCTTCGGAACCTTGTCGTCGTGCACGGCCCAGTAGTTCCCCTTGGCGAACGGGCGGCTGGGATCCTTCGGCACCTTGTAGAAACACTTGTAGGTGGACAGGTTGTGTCGCACGGAGTCCTTCCAGCCAGTGTAGTCACCGCGGAAGAACGGGTACATTTTCTGTAAGGGAGGAGGAGGGGCAGTGGTTAGTGCTTTGTATTCCGGCATTTGGTAGTCTACATGATAAAGCAAGTATCATGCCTCGAGGAACTGATAATAGTGGATGGTTTAGTTCAGAAAATACATCCCAGCCAGGGCAAGGCTGAACTACGCATATCTTGACGTACTAGTATATAGTGTAACGTAAGTCTCGATGCATCATTAGGCACGTAAAAGAACAATTCGTGCATTGTTTTACCCATCAATTTACCTATAAGACAAATGGAATTTAATATTCAACAACTTGAACAAGTGTAGGGTAGGCCCGGGTGCCGTTACAACTATTGAGTTTGATATCTTTTATAGGGATTCATTAGAAATCTTTCAGTTAATATATTCGCCCCTTCAATGATAGACATGATAAGTGAATCTGATGTAGACAATTTAAAATCGTACACACCTTAAGTGCCTCGTGGATCTCCTTCAGTGGCAGTTTCTTCTCCGGTGCGTTCTGTATGGCCATGACGACCAGAGCCAGATAGGAGTAGGGCGGTTTGGGGTAGCGCTGGTACTTCCTCTTCCCCTCCACCTCGTCCGTCCGCCGGTAGTTCTTCCACCTCACGTTCGCCGTGTTCTTTTTCCTCTTGGTGGGGAGGGACGCGCGCTTCCCCGAGGAGGCCGTCTCGGAGGAGTCGGTGTCTGTCCCGACCCGCGGGCGCTTACTGGGCGGCTGGCTGGTGGGAGAGTCCATCCTGGTGAGGCAGGGAGGGGTGGAGCCCTGGAGGTCAGCATCGGCTGGGAGACTGTAGAATGGTAGAAAAAAACATCATAAGTTCAAGCAACAAATAAAACTTTTGGATTCAAATTCACAGTGATATATTATTAGTTAAGATAGTAAGTTAGATGAGTAGACCGTAGAACTTCATGTTAGCATATAGTTTTATATCATTACATTCTGTACTCATTGTTCGATATCATGTATCTGTTCGGGCATGAACCTGCAAAAAAGAGTTCATATATTGATCGTGCTTTGATATAGGGAAACGGTAGAAAAGAGTACATTCCTTTCAACAAGATTTGTACTCTTGAAATGCAATGGATTTTCTTCCATTGGAATCAAACACTAGTCATCCATCTGGTCTATGACATGGCGCAAATCCCTGGAGCGCGCAGGGGATCATGGGGATTATTACAACAACACTAGAAACGTCACTAACATGACTAATGGTGATGGACGAGCAACAAGTTTACGGAAAAAATGTACATATAAACCTAGGAGAAATTTTTGACCACTATACACTTGATATACAATATATATATATTGAGAAACAAAACCCAGCCTAACATCGCATACAAACACATTATCTTCCCGAAAGCTCTTATACACACTCTATCGCCCTCTCCGGACACTCGAAACTGTACAAACCACCTAAGCCGGCTATCTACAAACCGTTGACAAAAGCTTAGGTGAGGTTTTCACAAAACCCCAATAGGGCTTGTCCGTAAATATTTGTCCATCCGCCCTGTCTTCTGAATCTCTCAACACTGGCTTCAAGTTCTGAGAAAACGTAGATCGTATGGCCATTTATTACTGAATCCAATTTCCCCAAACCATGCCCAAACACACAAAAATTGTCTTTACACTTAGATCTATAATATACTTTATACATTGTAACGAGAATTTGAACTTACATTGTAACTTAGTACCTTCAACCAATGACTTGCTTCATTGATACGAAAACCGATTCAAAATTACACATTTCATGACTCGCAAAACGTGTTTTATCGTGATTCAATTTACGAACGCAGACAACTCAGAACTGTAATACGTGTCCGTCAACTTGCACGTATCAAACGTATCTAATCAAATCATGAGACCACCATAAGTTTTTTAAAAGGACACTTATAAATGGTCAGTTCCTTGACCCTAACTAGCCCTTAGTGAAGACAAAAAGGATTAACGTGGGATTTGCGGAATCCTCAATCGACCTTGTGTTTAAATATTTGCCGATTGACGGCTAATTGCTAATGGGGTGCCAAACTAATGAGGAAGGCCACTTACTGTTCTGAACTTCGAAAACATTGCGCGAAACGGACCACCAAACGTATATTGTACAAGTCTGTAATCATGTGTGTGTAATGGATCTATAACATTTCATACTAAGAAATTTTCGTAAAATAGCACGATCAATGACAACGGAAAGATCTCCCTTGAAGAATCAAATACTGAAACAAAATACTTGTAATATTCTCCGACAGGCCTAGGAGTTTATGCTCCTTGAACAGGATAATCCAAACGCAATGACACAGTACAATGTAAAATCTTCAATGGCACACAATAATGCCAAACAATAAGAGTTTACGGACCAAATAACACAAGTATGCCAGAAGAAGGAAGTTTCACTCCATGTCAACCAGATTATGTCCAAAAAACAACACGAAAATTCCACCTTTCAAAATTTGTCCAACTAGTACACATCGAGAATGTAATAATGAATGACTTCACTGATCAGAACGACAGTCATGGCATTGTCAAGTAATGTACTAATTGACCATTACACATACAAATTACTACACATCGAGCGGCAAAGGAATAAGAGACCCCACCTTTCTGACACCATGTTGCATGCGACCGCGCTGTGGCTAACACTGGACGCTTCTGAACATTCGAGCCAGAGAACCCTGCTTTAGCTACTTCCAACATGCATAATGTGGCGTCCTTTTTGCAGCCACAATGAAAGCAAAGAATAGACGTTGATTGGTGCCAAGACAACATGAGAAATTGAATTGTTGTGATTGTCATTTCTTGGCGTGGATGTTAGGTGCTCGGCTTGGCCTAGCGAGCTGTGAATGGGCCCGGCGCTTGGCTTGGTTTGGAGCTATTTTGCATCCCGGGGGTTGGCTATTCATTTTCAAATTACCAATTACTGTCTTGTGTCTTGTCCTGCCATGTACTAGTATGATGTTCGAGGAAAATGAACAAGTTCAAACATACCTGCCAAGCCAACAACAGCAAAGGTGGCCATGAAAGAGACTCCTTACAAAGTACGATCTTATTCGCCGATCAGACAACTTTACAAACGATCAACTACCAACAGCTTTGCCTTGGAGTATGTTATCTGGCACATTCCCCATTTTATACGGATATTTCTTATCTGTCCCGAGTGTCCACTTACACAAATGTGCAAAAATCACAACATTTGCACAAGAAAGGAGGAGAGGTATTCACGGTTCCTCGATTTCAATACCGCCCCACTGGGAATACACGAAGCGACGAGCAGTCCACTCGAACCTGGATGTTCATGAGCATTTTATACTGTTCTAAACTTATCACATCAGAAATTCTCACACACAAAAGTAGACAAGACCTTAAAGCAAAGTTATAGAAGGCGAATGTATAAGACAAGTTTGATTGACAAGTCTACCAGACGGCCGTATGATAAACATGGTTGTAAACTAAACCGGCCTCCCATCACGGACAGCTGGGCACACGGGAAATAAAACCATATGCGTTCTATCTGAATGTATCTTCGTAAACTTGAGCGAGGAATAAACTATGTAGAGTATGAGGTATCCGCCTGCGTTAACTATGCTACGTAAGCTTGGTGGAATCAGCAGCAGTAAAAGTTGTACAGAAAGCGGAACAACGCCGCACATGGGAACAAAATATTTATGACATGACCTACCTATCCTGCAGACGACGTTTTTCACACAAAGGTCCTCCGGGTCATCTTCTGGGGACGGTATTCCAGCAAAACGCAAATCCAACGGGCACTCGGATATCTCCGCTGTCTGGTTTCGTTTGGAAAGTTCGCAGAAGTGGCTACATCTCGTTTTCTTTCGGTCAGAAACGCCGGTAAAACTCCCGTACCACGGCGCGCTTGGTATCCGCCATGGCCCCGGCACTTATTACCCATGCGCCGACGGACCGGATTGTCGCCTTTGTTTGTGTCCCCCGCGACGTTCCGTTTAATCTGGGCCGTCCTCGCTAATCTGCCAGCCTGTTTGAAGTGCTGTAATTTGTGGATCTTGTGGCACCTCCTTCACAATTCCCTGTCTTTTCTTTTCACAGGAAAGATCGACAGACTAAAGTAACAATTTTCTTTTTTAAAAATCACGACCGTGAATGAAAAGTTTAGACATTCACGCGGCGGACTAGTTTTCTATCTTTCTTCGGTTCAAGCATGGTTCAAGCTGGTTTCCCTCTTTTTCCTTGAAAGGACACTTGTTGCAGGGTTTTGTTTAGCACCCAGCGGAGAGAGCTTGCACAAGAAATCTGGGGAAAATCTCCGTCTTTTGTCTCGGGGATTATCTGGCTTAGCCGAGACAAAACTATTTCCACACCCAATTATGAACTAGTCAAAAGCAGACCTGACAGATTGAATGATCGCTCTAGAAATAGACTCACTTTACTGTTTCATTGGTTCTGTCCATCTTGCCTTCTTACATATTCAAGTGCAAGAAGAGCAGAAAGGCGTAATTATGTTTCATTTTATTTTTATTTGTCAAATATAAGTTTGCCTATGACTTGAGGCGTAGCAAGGCGGGTGTAGCGAGAACAACTTAGCTTCCGCCTCGTGATCCTTGGTATAACAACTTAGTATTGCATGCGCGCAATTCCCTTTTTAATTCATGATGAGAGTGACGCATTACTTCTTTTTCAAGATTTTTGTCCTTTTAGAAATGAGCAATGCGGCAAGCCTCACCCCTAGGGTAATTAGTGGAAAACTGATAACATGAATATGCATGAGGAGTGGCGTCAGAGGTCTTGAAGGGGTCTGGATTACCCCTCACACGTTAGGACGCGCCAGGAGGTATGTAATCGTATGCGATTTGCAGAGAATCGCACAGCGAGTTTCGTCGTCCTAGGGGACGAAAGTCGCAGGCTGCGAGTTTCTTCACCTGAGAGCGGGGGCGCGCAGACTACTCTATTCGTGCGAATATCGTCGTCCCTACGCTGGGCCGCGCAAACGTACAATAGGCAACCCTTTCGTTCGAATATCGTCGATCTTACGCTGGGTCGCGCACACGTACGGTAACCATATACGTGCGAAGCTTTCCAGACTTACCCGGGGCCGCGCACGGCTCTCTACTGATCGGAACTTCGGCAGACATTTACCGATGTTGTGTTCACTTGTACTCCATCTACAGAACTACATTGGTAAATATAGATCAGCTGTATAATGTTCTTGATCAGTTATAGATTAGAAAAAGATCGCAAATTGATGTTCTTCGATGTTCTTCTTTTACAGAAAATTCATTCGATTTACAGAAAACTGGGAACATGGAACTCGGAGAAAGCGCCAGCACTACATGCACCTGGATAATTCCAAATAAACTCCAAAATACTCAGTAATAGCTATGGAGAATGAAATACTATCATTTATATTCTAAAACAGGGAAATTAGCGGTTAAACCTAGTCTGTAACTTCGATCTACGCATATCGTAAAAAAACAAGATGGCGCCCGTGCATACGGGACGCCAACAAATAGCCAGAAAACACAACAAAAATGGGGCTAAGGTAGAGCAGATTTTATTCATGTGCCCTGCGTTGGTATTCACATCTATATTGTGTAAAAGAAATTAGAAGAAAACGCACACACGCGTTCTTGGACAATATGCTACCTGACGTACAAATTCGTTGGAGTCGGCTTGGCTTACTCGCCCAACTTGCGCCACAAACAACAAAGCAAATCAACATTTATATCTTATTTATATCAACTTTATATTGAAAATATACATACATTGCATTACTGGTTCTTACGTTGTTAATCAACACAGGGGGATTACAAGTGTAAGACATAACAAACGTCTGAGGAAATACTAGCATTCTAAACGAAGAAAACAAAATAGGCGCCCAATCATTTAGACGCCAACTGCTGGTCAACATATCCCAGCGTCCTTTGCAACAGACATTGGCTGTATAAACTTTACAGGAATTTGAATTACGGAAAGAAATACGAAAAACTTGACAACAATCATT